ATACATATACATATACATATATATATATATATACATATACATATATATATGTACATACATATATATATGTACATACATATATATATGTACATATATATATATACATATATATATATACATATATATATATATATACATATATATATATATATATACATATATATATATACATATACATATATATATATACATATATATATATATATATATATATATATATATATATATATATATATATATATATATATATATATATAGTAAAGAAAAAATTTACGACGTCGCCTATCTTCTCCCCCATGCAGGGCGATGTCGCAGATATATATATATATATATATATATATATATATATATATATATATATATATATATAAAATACTGTTTATACCGGACGGTATCATTCGAAACTGTATACCTTGCTCAGAATAATTATGAATTGTATCTGTTTTCCAGATTGAATAGCATAATCAATAAAAATAAATAAAACTCTTGCTCTGAAGAGGACATGTGCATGGTTCAGATTTGCACAATTTACTACACCAAAAAACACACAGCAGAGACTAAAATCAGAAGCAAAACCACATAGTAGCCAATGCTAGAGAAATTTAAAAGATATTGAGATGTATGGTCAGCATATTCAATGGAGGATTCTGTAGTACCTGATGTAAAGCATATTAAAGCAATGTCCTCTGGTGCACAAATTGGATCAATTATTGGCATAGGTTTGTCAAGCCTCTGAATCAGATTTAAACGCAAAGCTGCAAAGGAATGATAAGTTGAAAGATAAACAAAAGAGAAGCATCACAGAAACTTTATAGAGCATATTTCTCTTTGAGTATAGTTGGAAAAAATGAAAAATCATATGCTTGGTATTCTTAAATGTGTGCATATCTATAAACATATTGTCAGATGACAGTCAAATCCATGAAACAAATCTTGATCTGGGCATGCAAATACATAAAGTGAAATGACAAATTCTTCCATCAAAGAACAAAAAACATTAAAGAATCAAACATCGAACTAAATCTTCCAATTGAAATAATAAACTTGCTTGAAAATAGAGAAGCTCTGTTAGTTCCATATCCGTTAAGCATTCTATGAGCAGAGGGACAACATTTCAGTGGAAAGAGCATACAACTATGATTGCAGTTGAAGCTGGATGACGACTCCCCAATAAGAAGGTAGAGCTTTATAGATGACAAACTGTCGCTCGTTTGCAGCTCGACAGCCCATGGGCTGCAGTATTCATCCACCGCTAACATCTTGGGCTTTACGAGCTCCATCGCCATCCTTGCCTCCTCAAAGCCCTACCCTTACCAAAAAGATTTCTTCGTTAATCGACTATAAGATGTGGACACTGTGCTTACTGTGTTTGAATACCACACAATCTTCAAGTAACAACAACATCAATCAGAAGACCATTTCCAGAGTGTAATGCAACTCTCAATCATCCCCATATGGTGCAAGTCGTGCATATCACAATCGATCGTGATGAGAAAAATAATGCTAAGCTGCAGTCGAAGGCATTCAAAAACCTTACCTGGCGGATGCAAGCGACATAATGAACCTAAGATAGGTGGAACCCGAGAAGGATACGATGACTTACCCAGCGGTGATTGAGAGGAGCGACGATGCCTCCGACATAGGAGATGGCGAGGAACAGCTCCATGTACTGATCACTGTCGCTCGGAAAGAAACAAACACCATTGCGTATCAAAGTAATCGAATTGGAGAAGTTCGATAGAGAGTGCGGTGCTGTACCTGTTGAGGGCGGCGACGGCAACGACGTCACCCCTGGCGACGCCGGAGTCGGCCAGGCCGCGGGCGAGGGAGCGGACGCCCTTCACTAGCTCTTCGCCGGTCCTCCGCCGGAGTCCAGAGATGGCGACCGGAGAGTCTCGCCGGACGGCCTCGATGCGGCCGAGGCAGTGGCAGATGTGGCCTCTCGAGTGCGCGGCCATGCTTGCCGCTGCGGCGTAGCGTTAGGACGTGGACGACGAACGGCGGTCATTAAAACGTTATCTCGTCTCGACGAGAAAAGAACTCAAGTGGGACCCATGGAACAAGACTTCAATGCCATTCCACAAAACTTTAGGATTCGTGCGAGAATATGATTGATGCTTCCGAGAAGGTAATGTCAATATTAAAAGGGACATATATGCAAGGCCACGTCGCTATTTCCAACCTGGCAAGGACATATATACGTAAGACCGCGTGACCTTTAGAGATGATGTGGGGAGACACATGTAGCCACGTAGTTCCACAGGTGTGTGATTGGGCCGATCGTTATGACCGACAGCTAACGAGTGGTTCTTAAGACAAACAAACACATGTCCGATGGACCTCAAAAAACTACAACGAATCCGACTCGGGTTAGAATTAGGTAATTTCGTAAATATATGCTGTCGTGGAGGGTTTATTAGGTATTGAACGAGGAAATTATAACCTAGCTGGCCTCGTCTGGTTCATCTCCCTCGCCCCCCCAGAGCAGTGTTCCGGCGAGAGCGGCCGCTTCACATCGCCCAGCCTTCTCGCGATCACCCTTCGATCTCTGAGCTCTAAGCCATCGGATTCTTGGGGCCCAGGTCGGTTGAGGAATGCCTTTTCCTAATTCACGCTGGTTTTTTTCTCAAGAATTTAGTGTTTTTGGGGCATGATTCGTTGGTCTCAGCTTTGCATCTGTTCTTGGGTTTCCGGGAAGATTCCCAGGGTACCTATTTGTATTGGATTATAGGTCTTTCCTATCTGGAAAATGTCACCTTCAACTTTCCTCCTTGTTTTGGCTGTTCTGTTGCTTGTTGGATGAGGTCTCCGTTTTATGGCATTATAGCATATTTACTTGAGCATTATGCAAATTTGTGTTGCATAATTTCAACCGGTTTTGCTTTTCTCTGATGATGTTTTATTCAAGAAATCAAGCTCTTGGTGTAAATTGTCATAGATCTGTTGTGGAGATTTGATGAGGGCATCTTTGGTCGTTTCCGTGGGCTTTTGTTGTTTATGGACGTTGTTTATATGGTTAGTCTCTTGTAACTGATATCATGCTTTAACCAAATCTTCTGAAAATTCTGTCTGTCCTATGAGAATAGTGTTGTAATGTAATTCCTTGGTGTTTATCTGATGTTTTCAAATAAGCTTGGTGTTCTTTTTCGTAGCATTTTTCTGTTTTGGATTTGATTTGACAGCAGTCTCTTTTTCTATTTGCCATGCAGCGTTAGCCTGCTTCTTAGAAGGAAGCAGGCTTCAAATAAATTCTTCTGGTGACAATGGCGACCTTTGTTAAGCCGGAGAACGCCTTGAAGCGTGCTGAGGGTAATAATTGTTTTAATAAAACTTAAAACTTCTGCTTTTATGCATAATATACTATGTTCGAAAACCTTGTGTGGTATGCTAGTAATGTTGATTTTTATTGCTTTTAGAAATCAACGAATACAAGCAAATCAATATGCTGCAATCTCATGTTTGCCGTGGCACAAAAGTTTGTGAGATGTATATCTTTCACAAGCTTGGAAAGGAACTAGTAAATTAAGATTTTCTTTTTCAGTCAAATGAAATCCTACGTGTTATCCATACTTTTTCATTATCCTTAACTTATTATCGGTACCTTTTTTGTTCCTCAATTCTTTTGTATGCTTTTTGATTTGAATGGAGTAAACAAACTGAAGAAGAGTATTTGATAGTGCACCTTATAAGATATAATGGATTAACCTAGCACACTACCACTTCTTTGCTAGTTCCCTTGCTGTGAATGTGAAAAAGAACTTTCATTTCTTGGAAGAACACGTGTTTGGTGCTTAATTTCTTGCATTAGAACATGTCCATAATCAAACTCCCTGTTGCTTTTCATAAATGGCTTTGGACAGTCCACTCAAGCTGTCATGCAATGATTTGCTAACAGGGTTCATGCTTTTCTTGTATCTTGTGCTTCAGAATTGGTTAATGTTGGACAAAAGCAAGCTGCCTTACAAGCACTACATGATCTCATCACCTCAAAAAGGTACAAGGCATGGCAGAAGACCCTGGAAAGAATCATGTTTAAGTATGTAGAACTCTGTGTGGACATGAGGAAAGGCAGATTTGCAAAGGATGGACTTATCCAGTACCGCATTACATGCCAACAAGTAAATGTAAGCTCTTTAGAAGAGGTGATAAAATATTTCATGCAGCTTTCCACAGAGAAGGCTGAACAAGCTAGGACACAAGCACAAGCCTTGGAAGATGCACTGGACGTGGAGGATCTAGAGGTCGATAAGAGACCTGAGGACTTAATGCTAAGCTATGTTAGTGGGGAGAAGGGAAAGGACAGATCCGACAGAGAGCTTGTGACTCCATGGTTCAAATTCCTGTGGGAGACCTACAGGACAGTGCTTGAGATTCTACGAAACAACTCCAAGTTGGAATCACTATACGCAGTAAGTCATCTAGAATTTCCATTAACACATGATACAGGGAGCTTTTGTTGTCACACATGGATTCTCTTAAAGGGAAACCAGAGACACTGTGTATATGTCATTGCTGAGGTTATCGTTTTCCTTTTTCTGCCTCACTTGACAAAACTGTGCAACTATTTGTTATAATTATCACTGCTTTTCTGTTAAGTTATAGCTAGCGAATCTCAATACTGCTTATTTAGCCTCCAAACTACTTGTATATATATCACTGCTTTGTTGTTAAGTTGTAGTTAGTAAAAAAAAGTTGTAGTTAGTAAGTCCTGCTACTAGCAGCAACATTATTTATTATATGCATTGCATGAGTATTGTTTTCACAGGAGTGTGAGTTTAATTTTTTCTTTGGATATTTAGATGACAGCACATCGGGCCTTCCAATTTTGCAAACAATATAAGAGGACTACTGAATTTCGAAGACTCTGTGAGATTATACGAAATCATCTTGCTAATTTAAACAAGTACAAAGACCAAAGAGATAGGCCTGATCTTACAGCTCCTGAGAGTTTACAGCTTTACTTGGACACGAGAATTGAGCAGCTGAAGATAGCAACTGATCTGGAACTATGGCAGGTTTGTTTGTTTGCTTTTTTTTGTGAACTTGCCTTCTACACTTTCCTGTACTTGTTCTTGGTTTTTCTGCTCTTTGTTATGTTATTGTATGATTTTCTCATACAGGAAGCATTTCGCTCAGTGGAAGATATCCATGGTTTAATGAATTTGGTAAAGAAGAGCCCAAAGACACCACTCATGGTTGTATACTATGCAAAGTTAACAGACGTATTTTGGGTTTCGCATAGTCATCTTTACCATGCATATGCATGGTTTAAGCTTTTCACATTGCAGAAAAGCTACAATAAGAATTTATCACAAAAGGATTTGCAGTTAATTGCATCATCTGTTTTATTAGCTGCGCTTTCAGTCACTCCGTATGACCAAAAGCATGGTGCATCACATCTGGAACTTGAAAATGAAAAAGAGCGCAATTTACGAATGGCTAGCCTTATCAACTTTACTCTTGATCCTAAAGGGGAGAGCAGAGAAATGGTATATTATCGTGTTGATTTCTTTTAGTAATGCTCTTGTAATTGTTGTACTTATGTCCTAATTGTTTGTGCTGACGACTTACATTTTGCAGCTTTCACGATCATCACTGCTCTCAGAATTGGTATGACATGCACTACAACTTAATCATCTTTTCATCTTCTAAATGCTATGGTTTTTTATTTCTGTAATTATCTTTAATCGTTGTTAAAGATGTTAAAGTTAGTTTTAATATATTCCATCTGTTGTCCACTGCACATTTATTTACTCATCAGTATCCACCTTTGTGTTGAGCTCTGGGACAAATTGTTGTATGGTACATGGTCAGAAGTTAATACATAGGATGGCTGTCTGATAAAAGATTCCTCCTGGTGATCAGGCCAGAAATCTTAGAAGATGATTTTAATTTCTAGAGATTTTGCTGAATAGGCTTATTTAGTGAATTGTTTATCGCATATAGCACCTATGGGCTTATACAATATCCTACAGATGTAGTTGTTAGACGAGGTGAAATGATTAACGGTAGTGGTACGAGGAAATGTACAAGAAGATCTAAAAAGACTTTAATAGAAACTATAAATAAAGATTTAAATACTCTAAGCTTAATTAAATGTGATTTTTTATATATTTTAGTGTTGGCAAAAGATCCATGTAGTTGATCCTAAATAGTTGGGATTTACAGCTTTGTTGTTGTTGTTGTATATAACACTTTTAAATATGTAAACATATGGAAAAAGGACTAGGTTTCATTTAGGTGTGCTAAAATCTATTTATCCTTTTATGTGCATTTTTATGGGCATATTATCTATAATTAAAGAGCCTTTTAGGATGGCAGTTCTTACAGTTTAACTACAATGTTAGGCCAATTTGCAAGAGAGCATGATTGGTGCTTATTACGATATGAAAAGTGACAGAATTTGCTAGACCAAAACAATATGAAATATTCACAAGATGAGTAAATTTCGTCAATTAACATATAATGTAGGGTAAGTGCTTCGATATCAAATCTAATATAGGACGAGTGCTTTGTTACCAACATGAAATAGGAGAAAGCATAGATGGTCAAAGATAATATATTTTCTTTCTAGGAGTTGTTTGTTGTGGAATAAAACAGAATATTTTAGTGGGATAAAAGAGAAAAAAAACAGTATCACCCAACTTATTCCAACTCAAGGATTAACTCTGAGAATTAAAGGCCTCACACCTCTGTAATATCACATGTGAATAGTGGAATCATACCATTGGGATTAAGAATGTGGTCTCACATCACTCATACATATTGTGGGGGAAAGAATTCTATTTATTCAATCATTTTCTGATGATCCAAGTTGCAGACTCTTCTCTTTTTTTGGGAGATTCCCTATGTATAAGAAGTAAGAAAGGAAATTACAAGAAGTAGGGAAAGAATACAATCAAGAAATTTATAATTTAAAATGTATAAATAATTTCTTCTTTCCTTGTGGAAGATATATTTTTATATTTGTTTTGGCAAATAGTCTTCATTCTTGACAATACATTTGATTGATAAGCTTCCTTTTTGTGGAATCTTCAATCATGATAAAGCTTCTTGTACAGATGGAATCTTCAATCAACTCTTGATATATTTTCTCGAGCCTGAGATTTGTTTCCTCCCTTTTCTTGTTTGACATTATTTTCTTCTCTTTTTGGGCAGTTTTTATAGGTGGCATTGAATTACCTGAGATGCTGCTACTTGGCAACTTATTATGTTTTTAAACTTCCCCTGCAATACTTGAATTATTTGAGTCATGAACATGTATCTTTTTATATGACCACAAGCAAAAGAAAATTTATTTTTCAATTATCGTGTTTCACTTTCAAGTGGACTGCTAGGTGAAGATTTTATGGGATAATATGGACTGTAATATTGTTTATTGCTCTATGCTGAAGTATGTTTCTCTTACTGGATTGTGAATACATCCAATGCATCGTGCATCTATTAGTCAACTTTAGATTTTACTTAGTTCTCACAATTGGTCGTTTCCAATCTAGATTGGCTGATTTGGTTTGGGGTCAGTCCTTTCCGTTTTAAGGAAGTCTTCATTTCTCTAATAATTGCTGAGATTTATCAAAAATCAGTCAGAATCAGATGGAATTCATCAGGAAATTGGTTGGTTCTAGATCCAAAACTGATTTATATTGAGAGAATAAAGTTGGGAGAAAGAAGAAGAAAGGGAGAATAGAAAGAAAGTGAGGGACGGTCAGAGGAAAAACTGTGGAAGGGGAGGAGTGGAGTGGGAGAGGTGATCATATGTGGTGCTCCACTGTCTACATCTTGTTTGCAAGCTGCAGTCATCTCCCATTCGCTGACACTAGCCACCTGGTTATTATCCATTTGCTATCCAGTTGTGCGCTCTCCACTGCCTTAAATGCACAATGTGTTAGGACAGGTGTAAGAAGTTTATAAGTATTTAACTTGTATACAGTTATACTATACACTAAACTTGTAACATTGTAGCTTTTAACTTATAAGCATAATAAATTGCAGCATATATATAATTATTTGTAGAGTTGTGTACATATATGTAATTGTATCATATATCATGTATGTATTATTTTATATTTTTAAAATATTATTTTTCGTTTTTATGAATTTTAAAATATAATTGAATATTAAGTTCTTTTAACTTAATTTTTTTTATGATTTGATCCCATTGGCTGATTCTGATCTTAAAATGCATCACCAATCATCCAGTCACAAAATAACTTAACATTCAAAAGAATGTCAATTATGATCAGGATCTTAATGGAAAACAAATGAGGTGTGCATGTAATCTTTGACATTCTTTTTGTCCAGTGCCATGAGGTGCAAATCATATACACTAGGTGCTTTCCCTAGGGAATCGAAGTCCCAACCTGGCAATTGGTGTCCTGGATGCTCAGCTGCTGAATGTACATATGAGTGGGAGTCTGACCCTTTCATGTGAAGTACTGGCTCGATGCATTGTTCTTTCATTTATACTTCAAATGCTGCAAATTTATGAGATGATTAATTATATCTTCATCAGCAATCATATTAGTAATTGATCTAATTAAAGTGGATGTTGAGAACTTACATAGTGGAGCCATGTTTTATCTGTCAAGTAGCTATATGATCAAAGTGCATGAACAGCAAGCACCATGGTGCTGTTATGTCAATCCTTGGTAATCCTGTCCCTGTTCTTCCTCATCTACATTCTGTCATGATAAATGTGCTATCCTGCATATGTTTGTTTTGCTATCTGCTAGAGTAGATAAACCAGTTCACATTGTTATAGTTTTGTCTGGAAATTCCAAATTTTGTGGCTAATTTTTGTTTTCATGGTTGTAATCCTAGTTGTCTTCTGTATTCATGGTTGAGAAGTTTAAATGCTGAATTGCTCTATGCTCACATAATGGTGCCTCTGCTGCTATCTATTTGTGACACTTGATTAGTTTTTTGTAATACATACTATATGTGGATGACAATTAGATGTAGTTGTTAATTTAATGTAGTCTATATGGTACAGAGCAACAAGGGTGTAATGACATGTGTCTCACAAGAAGTAAAGGACATCTACAATATCCTAGAACATGAATTCTTTCCTTTAGACCTTGCTTCGAGAGTTCAGCCTCTGCTTGCTAAGATTGCAAAACTGGGTGGTAAGCCATCGTCAGCCTCATCAGTTCCAGAAGTGCAATTATCGAAATACGTTCCTGCTCTTGAAAAGCTTACCACTTTGAGAGTGCTTCAACAGGTGTTTAATTAGTATTTTTTTATCAATGCCCCAACAATTCTATCAGTAGCCATATGTTTCTTATCTGTTCTTGTTTTTATCTAACACATCTGTTGATTTTTCGGCCTGTTACTTTGTCAGGTTTCTCGGGTGTATCAATCCATAACAATCGGGACTTTGTCAAAGATGATACCATTTTTTGACTTCTCACTTGTTGAGAAGTTATCAGTTGATGCAGTCAAATATAATTTCGTTTCTATGAAAGTTGATCACCTGAAGGGTGCTGTTTTATTTGGTAATGTGGTATGTTATCTTTGTCTTTATCATTTGCATGTTTCCCCTTGCTTATGTACATTCATGCACTTGCTTAGGTGTTATATAATCTTTGATTATATAGATGCTAATCCTTCATATTGATATTGTCATGTGTATGTGAACATAATTCTTTTTCCCCCCTCACATGCAAGAGAATGTGCTTTCTTGATACCCTCTATCTCTAGTTTGCACCATGTGCAAGTCTTGTGTCATTTTCTTCATTGTGCATGTGTCCTTTTTCTTAGACTGCTATATTAGGGTTTGGTATGACTTATCAATTTGTCATAGAATATGAGCCACACTGGGAAAGCATGCATGAGTCATTATTCTATGTTTAGCATATATCTGCATACATACATATTTTTTTAAATTTTAAAATTCATCCTTGTTCTTACTCCAGATTAATGTATATGTGTAAATTTGCATTTTGTATAATTACCCATTGATGTTAAAAGTTTTCCATTTGCGTCTTAGTAAACCTAGCGATAGCTAATTGCATGAGAAAGCATTAGCTGCTTCTTAAGTTTGCTTTTAGAATAATGAACAAATTGAACATTTACACTTCCATAAATGTTGAAATTTTACAAATGTTCTGATGGCTACATACATGAATATGTCAATTATTTTGTTCACAGAACATTGAATCAGATGTGCTCACTGATCATCTGTCCGTTCTTGCCGATTCTCTGAATAAAGCAAGGAATCTGATTTATCCTGCTGTGAAAAAACAATCCAAACTGGGTGAGAAACATGGTCTAGCAGAAACAGTTGATAAGGAACATAAGAGGCTTCTTGCTAGGAAATCCATTATCGAGAAACGCAAAGAAGAACATGAACGTCAGATGCTGGAAATGGTGCTTCTGATTTTTTTCTCTTTTTCCAGGAATATTTTTTTTTACTTGAGTTTTAAATGATTAATACATTGTTCTGAACTGTTTCAAGGAACGAGAAGAAGAATCTAAAAGATTAAAACTCCAAAAAGTAACCGAGGAGGCTGAACAAAAGCGACTTGCTGAAGAATATACTCGAAGGCAGGAGCAGCGGATTCGCCGTGAAATAGAAGAGAGAGAACTTCAGGAAGCTCAAGCATTACTTTTCGAAACACAAAAAGGTGCCAAAAAGAAGGGAAAGAAACCTTTGCTTGATGGGGTAAGCCAATATTCCGTTTTTATATTCTTGATGGATCCTTTAAAGAATGTAGTAGCTTGATATTTGAGAGGTGGTTATTGCAAGTCGTCCTGTTTAATTAAATTAATCGGTACTCTGATAGCCAATAGTAGTTAGTTTGATACATTCAATTGTTTACTTGTTGGAAAAGCGGGCAGAGGTTCAGTTACTACAGAATGTAGCTGTTGGTTTTTTTATCAGGAGATGACTAAGACACATACCATTCAGTTGGTTTTTGTGAAGCTGCCTAGTTGCCTTAACTTTTTGAAGAAGCTAGTCCAAGTCCTCATTTAATCATATTCCTATTAGAATTCCCCATACTGCAGCTTGCTTTCCTCTGCTTATTGTTCTTTCTCCATCTTTATCTGCTGAGTGAAACTTCTTTGATATGTTTTATTGTCTGGAAAGTCTTGAGTCAATCATTATTTCAGTCATTTTAAAGATGTTTGCAATTCTTCAGGAGAAGGTCACAAAGCAGACATTGATTGAATTGGCCTTAAGTGAGCAATTGAAGGAAAGGCAAGAATTGGAGAAGAAACTGCAGAAACTTGCCAAAACGATGGACTACATGGAACGAGCAAAGAGGGAGGAAGAAGCACAACTGATTGAGCAAGCCTTCCAGCAGCGCTTGGTGGAGGAGAGAATTTTTCATGAACGCGAGCAACTGGTATACTTTGTTTTTTTTTTGGTTTTTTAAAATTTCTTTTCTTTGGTAACATAGACAAACTCGTTGCTCCTAACAGAAAGCGATAGAGTTGAGCAGGCAGCACCATGCTGGTGATCTCCAAGAGAAGAAAAGACTTGCCAGAATGTTGGACAGCAAGGTTCAAATTTCTCTGCTTAACCTTTACCCCTTGAAGTTATAGTAGATTTGAAAATGTTTACCATCCATTTATTTGAAGTTTTAGCTTATGGAAGCAGCTGTATTGACATCTCTGAGCAGTGACAGTTATGCAGCTTTTAGTATAAGTATGGCTGCCTCATATGCCAAAACATGGATATAGTGCTGATTAAGTCATCATGCTTTTGATTCATACATAAATTAATAGATTATGTTTTGATCACCCTGTTAGGTCCATTTAATCTTAAAACTTGGTTTCGGTGGGATTTATGGAGTTCCATTTTTGGCAGTTATAGGGCTTCAACACCTTAGCTTCAAGGCTTTAGTCTGGAAACAATTTTAAATGATCATGAAAGGCACAAGGAAGGAAAAGGTGATTAGTGTTACTTTTAAAAAAAAATATAAATTGTGAAAAATGTGCATAGTTTCTATGTGTTTCAGTCTTATAGGCTGATTTTTCTGGGTATTGTCAGAGTGCAGGAGTTTGGTAGGGTTTTTCAGAAGAGATCAAGTAGAAAAGATGAAGCAACCATAGCTAGCTGGGATAGCAAAATTCATGACTTCATAATCATCTGAAAACACTACATGACTTGTAAATTAGATTCCTTTTAGTGTCTCAACTTTCTTAAACCCAAATAACTAAAAGGACGTGGAAAAAAAATCTTGTTTTAAAACCCTCTAGAACTATCTAAACAGAAATGTTAAGAGCAGGTAGCCTTTGCTATATCATACTGTACATCCTACACAATATAAAACACCATAAAATAACCAAGGAAAATTAAGTATTATGACAATTTGATTAAAAACCCAGAAAGATCTAGATTTAGACTTACCTAGGATTTGGCTCAATTTGTTCAGTCATATTGTGATCATTATCCAATATTCAATTTGAATTTGATTAACGGTGTCCTTGTGTCCTCACTATTTTGTTTTTGTAATGGATGAAGACATTATATATGTAAGAAACAAGACAAAATTTCATGGTGTTTGTTGTTTCGATGACTCACCCGACAAGTAGAATAAGGATAAATTCTGAATTGGATCAATGGGACAAATTATAGAAATTAAACAAATGGGATTAGCATCAGATATATGAAATGCTGAGATATATGGATAAGAAAAATCAATGAGTTGAGGATTCAGTGTTCTTTGATTGTCGAGATGCAGCTACAGTGTTGCATGGATGTCAAGTCTCTCAGTAGGATAAAAATAATCAATGTTTTATTAACACCTAGGCTCCTAATTGGTTTGTGTGCCACAGGCAACAAGACCAATAGGAAGGAAGGCTAATGGATGATCAAAAAGAAAGGAGGCATAGCTCTTTTAACTTGATTTTAGTTTGAAAGAATGAAATCTCATTGAAGTAACATGAAACCTATTAGTGCGAACAAACAAGTATTTTGGTTTATTCCAAATCGTAATCTTTGTTTAGTACTAGAGATTGGATCAGGAATCCCATTTCGGATTTAGTATGGATAAAGGAGTGGCAAAAGGAAGGAGAAAGAATTGTTAATGAACCTGCTTCATTCGAGGGGGAGTCCCTTGGCCTTGGTTACCTATCTCAATAAAGTATATGATTGGTTTGAGGGAGGGTAAATAGTATCATTCATCATTCAGAATTTGATTAATTTCATTTTAGCATTTCATGGATGTTTATCTCCTGAACAAGTCATTTTACTATATGTGATGCAACTTGCAAACTTGATCTGTCAATCTTTTATCTTGTCATTATGTTTTTAGGCAAGCCCCTTGATCATATTTGTCAATGCTAGAAATCCATCTTCCTATGTACATGGATGCTTCTCAAGTTTTGTGTTTTGTTTCATAACTAACCACATTAAGTTGACTGTTTTCAATGATGTCAATGATGTTCATCTACTCAAACATCGTCCTGCAACTGTTATTGAACTAGTGTTAGTCATGATGTGATTTTCTGATATTATTGTTTTTTCTCTTCGTCCCCAGGTCATATTTCAACAAAGAATAGTTAACTGCCGTGAAACAGAATATAATCGACTGAAGAAAGAAAAAGAGGATAAAATTAATCAGCTCATGGCATTGAGGAAACATGAAAGGGAGACTAAAAGGAAGATGCTCTTTTATCTGAAGTCTGAGGAAGAGCGGTTGACCAGGCTGCGAGAAGAGGAGGAAGCCAGGAAGCGTGAAGGTAAATATTGTGCACCAAATCATATCATGAGATATAAGCACTGTTTTTATCTCCATGCCATGATTCTGTGGAAGTTTTTAAGAATTCTGATGGACTAATAAACAGGTTAGCTTGTTGATGACAAAGTGGATTATTGTGTTAGTATCAAGCGTCTAAATAATCTTCTACTTCAGAAGGAATAACCTGATATATTGATAGAAAGCTTAGAAACATTCGGGCTACTCAGATTTACATGTCCATGATTTTGCAGAGGAGGAAAGGCGTAAAAAAGAAGAGGCAGAACGGAAGGCCAAGCTGGATGCAATTGCAGAAAGGCAGAGGCAGCGGGAGAGGGAGGCGGAAGAGAAGGAAAGACTGCGAAGAGAAGCACTCCTTAGAAGACCCACTGAAACACTGTCACGGTCAATCGACCCTGCTTCAGGTCCTCACGCTGCTGACCCTGTTCCTGTTGCCGCAGCAGCTGCAGCACTGACTTCCGGTAAGTACGTGCCTAGATTCCGCCGCGAGAGGAACGATGGACAAATGGCAGCTTCCCCTGAGCCTGATCGATGGGGAAGACAGGATGATCTTGCTCCCCAATCCGGTGATAGATGGCGAAATGATGAACGTCGACCATCATATGGTGGCTCAAGAACATCCTCCACCTCCTCTTCTTCCTGGTCCTCATCGAGGCCACGCGGTTAATGCAGCTGATGCACAGATAGATACTGTTGGCTTTTCAACGGTGGATGGAGTAGTCTTCGCTTGTCCGAGGCAGAGGTTTTGCATATTGTGATCAAGTAGTATTGTGAGTTTTGAGGGTCTTTAGTTGCTGTACTCGAATAATCATGGTTTAGGTGAGATCTTGGCGCTTTCAAGTCTACCATATCGAATCTGTGTGGTGCCAGTCATTAAGACCTCCTTTTGCCTTTCATTTCCATGAATTGGTTATTGTCATTGATGTTGTAGTTCCTATTCCCTCATAACACTAATTTATTCCCGGTTGTGGTGAACTTTGTAATCATGTATACAGTGACTTATTTGATGAACTAAAGTATTATTGTCCATTAGTTTGCTGCAATTTTAACTAATATTGCAAAGATTGAGAGTTAGTATGTCCTGTGTGAGTAAGAGTTCATAATTTTTACAACGTTATTTAATTATATGTTTTTTTAATAATTAATTATTTTTAGTATTTTGATCTTTATATTTTAAAAGTTATATTGAGATTTTTAAATTTATGAAAGTAAGATATTAAGATTTTTATATAAGATTTAAAAAATAATTTTACTGTATTAAAAATAAAAAAAAAGGAGTTTCGTTGAAGTCGATCAAAGATGGTTAGGATCGATCGATCAAAGATAGCTAATTAAATGTTTCGCAATGAGGTATTATGTGCTAATTAACTTAGGTGCACGTATCGAGCAGCGCGGTCTTCCCCGTGCGATGCGAGGGATAGGGGTCCTCGTGATTCGTGCAATCCGGGCCGGGTCATTTGGTTCCCTCGGGCATCCATCCACGGGTTCTGAGTGTAGGGTTCCTCTTCTCTTCTTTCCTAGAGGCGTCATCGCGTGTTGCTTGCTTTCGCTCTTCGTCTCTTTTGGTGCTTCATCGTTACGCGGCGAGCTATTTCTTCGCGGGATTCGGCTCTCTGTCGCGCCTTCCTCCGTCGCCGGTAAAATCTCTCTCTCTCTCTCTCGAAATTGATGTCCCTTCCTCTCGGTTAGTAGATGTGAAGCCGATCGTGGGGGTTTTCTGCCAGCCGGGTAGCTGCCGGGTGGAGACTTAGGGCCAGCGTGGGGTCTCCTAATGCTCTCTCTCTCTCTCTCTCTATTCTTAGGATGTTGCCCAATGCTATTTTAGTCGTTTACAAGATTATGCTGGGACTGTTGATCTTTTTGCAGAATCAACGCTGGATAAATGATCGACCTTTTGGTTGAGTGAGATGCATTTGTTTTTTATTTTCTTCTGCCAATATTAGATTGACTTATGAACGGAGCAAGATTGAGTTTTGAAATGGAGACATTGGGTATTAGATTCAGTACGAGGAGATTGGGGTTTCGTTAAAGAACTGTATGGTTCTCGCTTCTTATTTTTATCAGAGGCATTTAGATAAGTAACATTTTTTTCTTCCCATATTATCATCGTCATATCAAATACCAACAATGAAATATTAAGGCACCTTTTTTTTTTAAGAACCTTGTTAGTGGCCATAAATTAACCTTTTTTTTTTTTGCTTCTCTGTTGTTCTGGCGATTTTGTTAATCGAGAAATGTTTTGTTTGTGTAGTTCGAGTGCGTGCAATGGATATTATCTCTCAGCTGCAAGAACAAGTAAATACTATGGCTTTGCTTGCCTTGAATACCTTTGGAACCTTGCAGAGAGATGCCCCACCTGTCCGATTGTCTCCTAACTATCCTGAGCCAGCCACTAATCCCTCATCAGCAGAGGAGACCCTCGACATCGTTGAGCAGCCTAAGATGATGAGCACGGCTCTTGTTCAAGCTGCAAAGAAGGTAAATGTGTCTGATCTTTTTATTGTGTTGTGGTGAATGTCTTTGTAATATCAAGTATTCCAAACATGTTTTAGCTAGTGGATGCACAGAGAGACATTTACGCAGGAGCCCCCCCCCTTCTTCTGCTTCTTGGTTTCTCATCCTGTGCAATTAGAATTTGCTTATGCAACTAATCTAGATTTATATACGGTTCTGTTCATGCTCTTATCTAATCTTTGTTAAATGACAGCTTAATGATTCGAGTGCCTGGTCTAGGAAAGCATAATGCTCTTTGTAGCTTGGCATTGTGTTACTTCAAAATATTTGCATTATTGGTAAGAAGTGTGCTTGTCTGACAGGCATATCTGCTTATTTGACAGTTTGATACACTTGTTGCTGCATTACCATTGTCAGGAGAAGAAGCTCAGCTGAAACGAATTGCAGAACTCCAGGTCAAGTGAATTATTTTGACTAGTTCTCACTTCTATCTATTATGCATAGGACAATTATGACACATCTCTGAGTTGGTAATGTCAGTGAGCTTAAAAGAGGTCGGTATGGATAATCTTACACTTGTCATATAATTTTCAGGCAGAGAATGAAGTTGTAGGTTTGGAGCTCCAAAAACAACTGGAAGCTGCAGGTGTGTTATGTGTCTGCCATTCTAAACATTTAGGTTTCTTGCATGTTTTCCCATTATTGCATGTCTAGTTTCAGGTATATATCTTCACTTAAAGACACTTCATTTGATCTGCACACATATTCTTTAAGATATTTCTCACATTGAAAATTGTTGAAGATCACAAAGTTTCTCTAGTCATTATTATATGCAGATGAAATAAAATAAGACCTTTATTTTTTTCTTTACTTTAATTGAAAATGGAATTTCAGTTCCTTTAGATTTAGATTACTCAGAAAATACTGGATCCCCACCTACACAAGAAAATTGATGATAACATTCGAAAAATAGCATTTTTAGTTGACCCAATATATTTTTGTATAGGATAAAAAAGACGTTCTGGATATTTGCTATTGTTCTTTACATGAGATCTAATTTAATAATTTTGTTAATATTGTATTATAATAATTTAGTATTATTCTATGGTAAAATTTGAATAATAGGCTCTGGTAAACAGTTTATATCAAAAGATGTAAAAGAATAAAGAAAATTTGTTTTTAAAAGGCCATTTATCAAGAAGCTCTCAACGGAAGTTAAAAAGGTTCTCTTATGATATTTGTTTGTACGAAAGCTGTTCTTAAATTGAAGAAGACTCGATAGGCCTCTTGATTCCCTTCCTTGGTTGGTCTGTTTTTGGAGCCCGCTTGAATTCTTTTCATGTGATAAATAATGTTTATATGACTTTAATAGGGACATATATAAAATTACAATATCTTGGTCACATAGATTTTGAGGGGGTTTCTTTTTTTTTTTTCCCCTGTAGTTCGAGTCTGTCGATGAAAAGCAGAGTGCAAAAGATACACAGACGTGTTCTATCTTGCTATTTGTTATTTTTGGAGGGCTTTTCTATTGGTAACAAGACTCAAATAATTCTGTACAATTTGCTTTCCATGAGTTGTTTTAACATTACAAACGTCATCTACTAGAAAGATTAATTATGACCAACATAGCTAAGTGGCTAATATTAACAGAAACTACATTTTGCTAAGGGATTTAATGTTATTCAGTGGTGTGCCTAATGCTTCTTGAATTACCTTTTGCTGCTGCAGAACAAGAACTGAAGCAGGCTCAGGAGCTATTTAATCTAGCAGCAGATAACTGTTTGAACTTAAAAAAACCCGACTAATATCTCTGGTTTGTAACTTTTTGGAACTACTTCTGAGCTGTAACTTCTGTTTATCATGTAATTTCGGTTGTCATTTTTAAAGATGCTTTCAGATGTGTTGCACTTGCCATTGCCATAATCCATCAGTCATCACATTTGCACTTTTACTGAGTATATGTGTATGTGCTACGTTAAAATTCCGAGGGCCAAATATTTTTTTGTTGGAAAGACTTTATGATTTGCACAATTTGTTATGTTTTTGATCCATTTGCATTGCATAATGTGTATATTATGGTCTTGCGTGATGTATATAAACCCAAATCAGCAGTATTGTTTCATCCATTCTCATTTCCCCTTCATAGGATTTTATATGCTATTTCTATTCGCATGCACACTAATCATCCTACAACGACTCGTATTCACAGCAAGTCCTCCTCCGACGCCTCCGGTATGCGCTGCAGGTTCGGCCTCCACCGCCGCCGGCGTTGTGCACGGTACACGACGACGCCTGCGCTCATGATGTCGCCGAGGACGTGGTGGGCTGACAACAACCCTCGTTCGTCGGCGTGCGTCAGCAATCCCTGCAGCTGCTTCCTGGTGATCTTGATCTTCACCACCGTGGAAGAGAGCCCCCCTCTCTCCCCCTTCAGATTCTCCAAGGTCCTCGTCGCCTTCCCTTCCCCGCGCCGATCGGTCTTCTCCTCCGGTGAGTCCCAGTCCTCGTCATCGACCCATGTCCGGACCCGGTTACTGCTGCAATTCCCCATTCTTCTTCTTCGTCGTCGTCCTCCTCGTCGAAGAAAGACTGCAATGAGTAGTGGTCATAATGAGTTGCATGTCATGATATATATATGGACGGGAAGAGCAGCAAGTTTTAGGATAAGAACGAGTCAGAGTCAACAACATTCACGCAGACGTGCCATTAACTTGATGCTTTTACCAGTTATTATATACTGTGGCGGAACCATTCAGCGAACCTTTCATCCGTGTCAGGAATTGGTCCGTCGTCATACGGCATCTGTGAGTTCAAATAGCGACTCTCCAAGAAAGAGGTTGAGGCCGCGACGGCAGGATTCATTGACCTGCACAAAGTAATTAGCTCGGTAAGCATTGGGGAACGTGAGAGGCAGCTTCCATTTACTTGGATTTGTTCTGTACTAACTGCGTCTGCCTTTCGGGTTGCAGTCGGCGTGGAAGGAGGTCGCCGGAGCAGCAGAGGGGCTCGACGAGGTGGAGGGGAGGGGGCCTTAACGGGGGATTGTGAACAGACGAGGAGAGGGCGTTGGGCCGCCCGGTCCGGGTTAATGTAACGGGCTTAGTGTAACGGCTCGGTTTTATTATTACCCTATTTAACATGGTACACGCATGCTTTAATTCACGTGCAAGTGTCTCGAGCCAGTTGCGAGATTGGATCCGGTTCGGCCATTTTTTTGCAGATCGATTTGAGTCAACTTGAACCGGATAACTCGGTCTAATTCCAAAGAGGCGTATATATTTTCTCTTCGCCTCTCCTCTCGCGATCTCTTCCTCATTCTCCGCCGATGGAAAAGGGGAAGTCGGCGGCCAACGAGATCACCTCCTCCCTCGAGGATCTCCATCTCAAGCCGCGCCCTAAATCCACCCCTGTGGTTTCGCCGTTCGATTCTTTCGGTGAGTCGCGAGTTTTCTCTGTTAATCCGATCCTTTTTTTTTTATTTAATTGGTATCTTTCTATCTCCGTGGATTTTGGGTGTATCGGATTGTTCAATATTTATGCCTTTTTATGTTTTTTAAGCAGTCGTTCTAATGGAAATCAATTGATATAAGGCTCTGTTGTAATTGAATACATGTTTCTTATTCTTATTCAATCTTTTTCGGTGGAGCTCGTATGTTAACATGTTCAGGTGTGTGATATTTGATGGCTGATTTAATGGGTAGCCTCTTTTAGATTTTTACAAGTGAAAATTAGGGTTTTGACGTAAGTTTGACTTAGAAGTAACAGTCATACCAATCTTCATTTTACACTTCTTGATTGTTTGTTTTTTAGCACTTAGTACTTGGTTTCATCTGTTGCTAATCTAAGCTAAGTGGGATGACATGACGGAATGTTATCGTTTAGAAAATTTAGATTTTTTTTTTTTTGTGTTGCATGTTATTGCATCAGGCTGTAATTGGAAAAAGGTATCTTATAGCATAGATTTTATAGATATTTGGAAGGTACTAAATATAATTAAAGGGCCAATCCACATCATCGTGTAACATAACAGAGGAATATCATTTTCAGATATATGCAACAGATTCATTTTTTTTATGATGTTTACCAATTTAACATTTCCTATACTGCTTCTTCAGCTTATTCCTATGACAAGACATGATCAAAATGGTCAAGTTGGCCATTCTTCTGATGTAATTTAATGCATTACTGGACTGATTAATTATATATAAATGATACAAAAGGCTGGATTACCCTGGAATCAAAAGTTGACTTAGTGTTGATTCTTGGAATTGCTATGCCTAGTGTTAAGTTCGACGAAGATTTGCCTTACCTCCTTATAGTCCTTCAGCAACTTGATCTTCCACTTGGACTGCATTAAACTCCAAGTTTTGGGGGCTCATTGATAATGGTCGAACTCAACAGATCAATCTGATTAAGAATTTCTATGTTAACTCATTTAAGTCATTTTTTAAGTCAAAACTTATTACCTTGGCTATTTCACTTTGTTTTGTTGTTGATTAGACAATTGATTATGATATAGCTTTTGTTGAGGTCTTTAGTCTTAGAATTAGTGACTTGTTAAAGTCTAGGATTAAATTGCCTTGATCAGGGAACTTAGGTTGTAACATTTGTACTGTTGTGTTTTGAAACTTCGAGCATTGTGGTGTGGTGATCTTTGTAACTTTATGCATATTTATTGGGGCTATGTAGTTGTGGAGTGTTCATCAACCCCATTCTATTATAAATTTGTTTCATAAGGTTTAGTTGGCATCATCCCTTAAGATTTGTGATAAATGAATATTAGTACATGTTGCTTTATCGATCATTATCATGTTTGTGTTCATTATATTGAATTTTTTCTTCTTTATTTGTTTCTATATTCAGCTTTTTCGTTGAAGAAAACTAAGCCTCCAAGCCTAGTGAACTTGTGCCTTGGAATTCTCGGGCGATATCTAGAGGACATCATTGCCGATATTTCAGAGATAGCAGCAGGATTTCCGCCTGATATTAAGGTTGGAATAAGATTTTGGTTTTATTCTTAATGTTTAATGTCTTTACTTTCCCTTTTTAACAACTATAATGGTAAATAACTATTGTCACATTAGCTTTGGTTAGGCCATATGAAACTTATATGGTATTAATGATGATATATGAAACTAAAGAGACTTTCCAAATTTGTTAGCACAATTTGAAGAAACTGTATCATAGTACTATATATTTTGTATGAGCCTCGGGCCTCCCTAAGTTAACCAAATCCTCAATTCCAGCTATGCTACATGACTGGAGCTTTTTGATGGACTTGTTCGGTTAATATGGCAAAATCTGAGTTTGCAATAGTTTTGTAGTTGGTGCTAGTGGCAATTGCGAGGAGGCGGCAGTTACTGAACGATGATGTTCTCATTTCCCTGGCTGAAGTTTCATGGAAAATTCTAGATTTATCTGGATCAGATGTGACTGACTTTGGCCTTAGAAAAGTGGCAGAGATTTGCATCGACTTACGGGCCATTGATATTAGGTTTGGAGCTGAAACCGATGGTTGTGCTCTTTTTATACCATATGCTTGTTGTTTTACTATATTTAGTAGATATATTTTTCGTATGAATTGCTAATTTACACTCTTTAGCATTATTTAGTCATTTGGCATATCTCAATTTAGAATCATATATTTTGTTCACAAACAAACTTTATACTGAAGTCCTTGAGTAAAAGAACAGTTTCTTGATGAATGACATTGTAACAATTAGTCTAAGTTTCATAACTCTCAAGTGGGGAATATGAAGAAAATTTTTAAATTTCATTCCAAGCAGAAGCCGTCATAAAAAAATAAGATGGTCAAAATAAAAAATCATTATATAATAAAATATTATATATATGTTGTTTAACTATGACAACCTAAACTATGGTTTCCGTATTGTCACGGCCTTAGCTGGAATTGCCTAAGGTGTGAGGCACCCTTGCGGCCAAGAAGCGAACTTAGCTTGCGTTGCCTAAGTCGCGCTTCGCCCTTGCGATATTGCTCCGCAAAGATCAGCCTACTTGTAACCTCTCATAGGTCCTGAAGGACCTGTAAAAGAGAAAGTTGATTAGTTCGAAAGAACGAGCGATGGACAAGTCCCGACGTCTCGCGAAAAGAGGGGAAGCTTTACAAGCAATTCAGCGAGCACCTTGCGTGCACAAGAGAAAAGAGGGAGAGGGGGAAAACAAGGGCTTTAGAAGGTTGAACGAACAGCTGCAAGCCCACAAACAGCTGCTCACCGAGTCCCGGGCGCGACAACAAGTTCCCGTCAAGGCAACGTGCGAACTTGCGAATGAGTGTTCAACGCCCGGTACTATACCGAAGCCCCATCCAGCCCTGTGCCACCCGGGGGGTTCAAAGGGGCTGAGATGGCTGACGTTTTGGTGAGCGGAGGCAGATTCCAGAAATCAGCCCGTGGCACACGAAAACGGAGCTGTTTTGGGGTTGTTTTGCTCGGTTCGGTGAGCGGTCGCTTTGTAACGCTGCAGCTTGTTCGAACTTACATTTTTACAAGCAAAATGACTCAAAACCAAGGCAAAACTGTCATGACTTGAGTCTGATGAGCTAACTGGCCAATAACTTCATTTTGGTCCTTCAACCACGGACCAAAATGCTTAAGCGGGAGTTTACGTAGTACACTCATCAGGCCCTTATAAGCTAATCCACATTGCCCACTTCCGATGTGGGACTAATGGGATGTTACATTATCCCCAACTCAATTAGCTTGACGTCCTTGTCAAGGTCCAACATATCCCAGATCGAACCCTAGCATAGTGCATGTGAGGATTAACTCAGTGGTGGCTCCACGTCGTGATGAGTTCTCTGACTCCATCCACGGGTAGCCCTTTCCTACTTGAGCT